GAAAGTAAGGTTTCCTTACACACGGGCACTACAATGTGGCCAAGATACTAAGAGCCTGGTAACCATGACAGCTAATATGTGACTACTGGGCAGACTGCCTACACAGCGAGGCTACACTGCATGATGAGATGATTCACATCCCAGGCAGAGGGATTAGGATGGGGTGAAATTCTGTCACGCTTCTCAGAAAAAGGGACAACATAAACACTGTTCATTTCTGAAATTTACCATTTCACATTTTTAGACTGTAGGATCTTTGGGTAACTGAAACTGTGAAAAGTGAAGCCATGAGTAGAAGGATCACTATCTTTCATGGCATGGATGCGCCTTAAGGGCTCATCCGCAGGGGGTGCACATCTGAGCTGGTCCATCGCTTTGCTCTGGTGCACAATCCTGCTGGGAACATCCAGTACATGTCTGTGTGAACATATTTTCACCTCTCTTGAGATATACACCTAGGCGTGGACTTGCTGGGCTATATGGTAGCTCCACGTTTTAACAACTTTAAGGATGATGACCTGTTTTCCAAAGTGCTTGGACCATTTCACATTCCACTTCCTCTACACCCTGCCAACATCTGTTCATTTTGTTTTCCAGTAACAATCTTCCTGATGGGCACCTGGCTGAGGTTCTGGTTCCCTAATAACTGATGAAGCTGAGTATTTTTTTCATGTGTTTTAGCCATCTGTGTATCTTCTTTGTAGAAATGTGCATTCACAAGTTTTGTCCTTTTTTAAATTGGATTATCTTTTTATGATTGAACTGTAATTATTTTATGTATTCTAGCTGTATACCCCTTATCAAGTACATGATTTAAAATAATCTCTCATGACCATGGGTTATCTTTTTACTGTTTTGATGGTGTCCTTTGAAGTACAATTTTGGCTTTCATTTGAATGCAGTCCATTTTGGCTATTTTTTTCTCCTTTGTGCTTTTGGTATCATATCTGAGAAAGCTCTGCCTAATCCAAGGACATGATGATTTATTTTTACATTCTCTTCCAGGAGTTGTGTAGTTTTAATTCTTACATTTGTATCTATGACTCGTTCTGAGTTTCATTTCTGTGTGTAACAGTCTAGCTTCATTCTTTTGCATGGCGATAACCAGTATCCCAATATCATTTGTTGAAATGAATGCTAGAAGTATGAAGTATACAGATCTGGTCTGACTTCCCTCTCCTACCGCTAGCAGCCTTTAACTGGCTAAGGGTCAAAGTATTGCCAGAAGCACCCAGCAGAGGCAGGTGTCATTCTAAAACCCTTCCCCAGAGCTTCTGGAGGGAAGTCATTGATCAGATTTCCAAACATCTGAATGAGAGGACAGAATCATTCACACCCTGTTCCAAAGGCTAAGATCTCTTCCTTAACTCATGACAGGACACCACAAAATGAGATTCTTTCATCACCTCTATAGACTCAAACCTATATTCCTTCTGCTCACCTTCCCCACTTCTGTCTGTGGAGCATGGGTGCTCTCTGGATCTTCCATTTTATCCTCTTCCTCATCAAACAAGCTAAGGACAGTTTTAGTTCTACCCGTGGTTCCTTTGTCCAATGGGGCAGCTGGGAAAAACAAATCAGAAGGCCTGATGGCTTCCTGGGCAGATGTGGTCGAAAGTCCTTTCTGGAAATGGAAATAATAAGGAGGAAAGGTATGCAATAAATGTAAAAAGTAAAAATCTGATCCTGGCACCTTCCCACCCCTTATGAATTCTATAGCTGTTGCAGTTGCCAGCTTCAGGGCACTACAGCTAGTCATATCTACTCCATGTGATGAAACACTGTTGGCTGTGCCAACGAAAAATCTTATACAGACAATCGACAGCCAAAGATAAGTTCTCCAAACACTTTAAGGCTGCAGGTCCCTCCTTTCTTCAGGTGATAGGTCATCAGAACCCTGCTGCACACAGGCTCCTTATAAACTAGAAGAAAATTTTAAGTCACAGAGACAACAAACGTCTGTCACTTCTCAGCATTTAACTAATCCATTACCTAAGGTCCAAAGGGAACCCTAACTAGCAAAACCAGACATTCAAATTGTAAGGCTATGATTGTATATGCAATTAGAACAATGTCCAAAACAATCCTAACACACAACATTCATATTCCACAGTATCACGATTCAGGTAAGATACTATTGGTCATAAGAACCACTATTACTCTTTGTACACCTAGGAAGGAGACTGACTCCTGATTTCGCCTGTCATGGATTCTGAGGTATACCCCAATTTCAGAATGGCCAAACTGGAACATGCTTTTACGACACAGTATGTAAGTAAGATGGT